CGCTTTGAGCAAGGCGGCCCCTGGCTCTGAGGCAGCGGGAAGGCGCGACCCCGGGCCTCGGCCTTAGAAGACGTCTTCGTAGGCCCTAGGCTTGCCCACCCCGTCTAATCTCCAACAGAATCAAGGGCCCCACGAGAGACTGCCAATTTGTTTCGAAAAATTATTCTGCCCATTGAGGCCTTCAGACCCCCACCTCCACACCTGAAGTCCCTGCCACATCACAGAAGAGCATTTTAACTCTCCCCGAACCGCTCGGCGCACTTTGGAGTCTCCCCCACTCCCCGTGTGGCCCTCGGTCCTTGCCGCTTCACAGGACAGGGGACTGGGAACAGGTGAAGGGGACCCCGGGCACCCCCCTTCTCACAGAGCTGCGGGGACTGGCCGCCTGATGGCCGACAGCTGGTTTCCCGCCTCTCCCAGTCCCTTGGGGCAGGAGTTCCAGAGCTGGCCTCCCTTCCCTTCTTGCACAAATGTCTGCTGAGTGCACCCACAGGGCGCCAGGCTCTGCTCTGGGTGCTGAGACAGCAGGGAGCGGGCACAGTCCCCATCGCTGTGGAGGTGACCGTAGGGGCAGGAGCCAGAGGACAAGCAAGTGACCATGGAAAAGGGAGGGTCTCGAATCTCCGGACCATCTCGACTGAACTTCGGGGAATCAGGTGCACGAGCGCGCATGCGTGTGGTGTGTGCGTGTTTGGGGAGGTCATGGCCCCGGCGAAAGGGAGGACAGCACTTGAGTGAGGACACAGCGCTGCCAGGGCAGTGCGTCTCTGACCTCCCCTCTGACCCCGCAGTTCCACTGCCAGGAATTTATCCCAAGGGCAGCACCCAGAACCAACGTCAGGAAGAACAGCGCGAGGATGTTCCCTGTAGTGTTGTTTATATCCACGACCGTGGGGGCACAAGAAGGGACACGGGACGCCCACACGACAAAGTCCTTACACTGCCACCAAAACTGACATTGTAGACACTTAGTGTCAGGTTGAAAGATGTTCATCGTTAAGCTCCTATGCTTATTTTTAAAAGATTTTATTTATTTATGTTTGGAGAGAGGAGAAGGGAGGAAGAAAGAGAGGGAGAGAAACATCAATGTGTGGTTGCCTCTCGCACGCCCCCTACTGGGAACCTGGCCCGAAACCCAGGCGTGTTCCCTGACTGGGAATTGCACCCACGATCCCTTGGTTCCCAGCCTGCACTTGCTCAATCCATTGAGCTACACTAGCCAGGGCAAGCTTCTAGGTTTAAAAAACAGTGGCAAACCAGCACGAAACAGTGTGATTTCATTTTTTCCTGGAGGAAAAAGAAAAGCAACCTGAGCGTGCCGTGCATGCGCCTGTGACGTGGGTGCAGAGCGCCACCCAGGACTGTGGGCGGCACTTGGCTTTCGCTGCTGTGTTTTCGCTTTAGGTATATTTTCTCGTGTTTCTGAATTAATTTTTATTCATTCTGTAATCGATAATTTAAAAACACATATACAGAAGCACAGAAAAGAGCCAGGAAGGCTGGAAAACAAAATGTAAGCAGTAGTTATTTATATCTAGATGGTGGGACTAGGGGTGATTTTTACATTTTTTAATTTGGATAATGAAAAGGCTATTGTTTTTTAAGGTGCCTTTAACAGCTCCCGAGATGGCCTCACTCCCACCACCTGCAAGGCGCCCACTGAGGAGGCCAACTCCACTGCTCGTGCTCAGGGCCCACTCTTGTGGGCGGGCCACCCCTGCCCTTGGGGAACGTGCAAGTGGGGGGGGCTGGCGGTCTCCAGAGTAGGGGTGCAGGAGCCCCAGGATGAGAAACAAAAGTGTTGGGGTTTTGACCCTTTACCAGAGTCCATTTCACCCTGGCTGGTGTGGCTCAGTGGATTGAGTGCTGGCCTGCAAACCAGAGGGTCACCGGTTCGATTCCCAGTCAGGGCACATGCCTGAGTTGTGGGCTTAGGTCCCCAGTAGGGGGCCCACAAGAGGCAACCACACGTGAATGTTTCTCTCCCTCCCTTCCCCTCTCTAAAGATACATAAATAAAATCTAAAAAAACCCTCCCACAGAGTCCATTTCTGCTTGCTCACGTCCACGGTGCGCGGCTGCAGGAGATGGAGCATGACTAAACATAAATGCGCATTTGTCCTCGGGGCCACCTGTGTGTTCTGGCAGGGCTGTGGCTCCAAACAGTTTGCAGGCCAGTGGCCTGCAGATGGGGTGACAGACACATGAGCAAACAGGCCCCACCAGAGCGACCAGCTCAGACCTGGGACCTCGGAGTGCTCCCGTCTGTCTTCCTCTGCCCCACACCCCCTCTGCAGGCAAACCCTGTCACCTCCACCTGCAAAGCAGACCCAGAACCTGCTCACTTGTCACCACCTGACCCCCACCCGCTGCCAACGCCGGCCTGTCTGAGCCACGCCAGCTGTCCGAACTCTGCACCAGCCTGCCAGCTGTCCTGCTGACCCCTGCAGGTGACTCCCAGCACCTCGGACACATCCGAGTCAGAGCGTGCCTGTCCCCTGCCCGGAGCCACCCCTGACTACCGGCTCACCCAGAGAAGAGTCCATGTCCTCACTGGGACTACAAGGCCCAGTAGTCACCCCTGTTGTCCCCTCTCTGCCGCCTGGCAGCCCATTGCCTGCAATGCCCTTCCCCAGGTGTTCACAGGCTCCCAGCTGACCTTCCTACACATGTGCTCACAGGTCACCTTCTCCACGAAGCTGCCCTGACCTCCCTGTCTTTAAAGCTGCGCTCACCGCCCCTCCCCCTGTTTCCTTTTCCCACGCCCTTCAGCCCCCACACCCCCACACCGCTGACTCCGCCTGTGTCTCCAACATGGGCTCAGCGAGGGTGGGGCTGGCTGCCGGTTTTGGTCACTGGGGTGTCCTGAGGGCCCAGGACACTGCCTCCCTGACACGAGGCAACCAGGGGCCATTAAACATGCATTTAGGGCAAGGGCTGGGGAGTCTGGGGTTGGCGGTGATGGGGCCTCACCTGGGGGACCCGGGCCAAAGAGAGGCATGTTCAGGCAACTCGCTTCCCCTTCCTCATGGGGAGAGTGGCCGGTGTCAGCCGGAGGGGCTGGCGGCCAGGCCCGGCTGCGGGGCCTCGGTGAGGGCAGGAGGGAGCCTGGACTTCGTTCCTCGGAGGGTTTTCGGCAGGGGGCAGAGGGAGGCTTGTGTTTCTGAGCGCCACTCCGTGGCTGCTGGGAGGACGGGCCAGGCAATGAAGGGGTTTGGGGCTGGGGAGGCTCCTGGGAGCTGTGTGGTCACTATTAGCTACTGGCGTCTTTGGTGGGTCTATGGGCAGCGCTGAGAGTGGGCCGGCAGCGGGTGCTCTGTGGGACTGCCTTGTTCTTCGAGCCCCCCTCCCCCCTCCCCCACAGAGAAGAGAGCCACTGCTCTGGCCTTGGGGCCTCGGCGGACCCAGCTCCTCACAGCCGCAGCCTGAGACTCTCACCCCGGGCCAGCGTCCGCTTCCACGTTTCTCGCACAACGTCCCCACCTGAACTCCACCCTGTTTGTTTCTTTGTTGCTTCTTCCCTCCTCAAGTGGAAGCCGGGCAGGGGCTGGGAAGGGCCTCGTGGACCCCGGCCATCCCCAGAACCGGCCGCACCTGCTGACCACCCTGTGTGTAGATGGATGGAGGATGGGGGAGTGGGGGGGGCGGCTGCATGGTGACAAGGAAGTGCAGAGTGTCGCCCCTTCAGGGAGCTATGGCTGGGTCTGCTGGGACCGCAGCTGGAGAGACTGGGGTGGACTCAGAGGCAGCCTGTTGGAGGCAGGATGGGCGGGGTGGCCTGGAGCCGGAGGACACAGGCAGCCCTGCGGGAGAAAGACCAGGCCATGTGACAAGGCCCTGCTGTTCCTGGACTGTGATGCTGGCTTCCCTGGTCCTGGCCCCACAGCCACCCAGGAAGGGACAGCCTTCTTGCCTTCAGTGGCCCCTTGTCACTGTCCCCCCCACAATGGCTCTGGCCCCAGGCTCTCCAGGACGGGCAGAGGGTGGCCAGAGAACCCTCTTGCTTTGGAGGGACAGGCCCGGAAGTGTGGTGGAGGAGGCGATGGCAGCTCTGGGGGCCTGGGGCATCTGTCCTGGAGCCCTCTTCTTCCTGGCTCTACAGGCTGGGGCTGAAGGGGCCTCACGGGCACAGGGGACTGACCGACGCCTTTGAGACAATGGGACCTCAACCAGGGGTGAGTCACCGCAATATCTGGCAATATTCGGAGACGTTTTGGGAACTGGGGGCGAGGGTGCAATCCCCCACCTAGTACGGAGGGATCGCTCAACCCCCTACAGTGCGGTGGACGCCCCGTCCCCACCGTGGAATACCAGCTCCAAACACCAGCTGAGCGAGCGGAGGAGAGGACCAGCTTTGAACAGGCACAGCTCAGCCCCACAGCCTCAGCCGGGGCCGCCTGAGTCAGCCTCATAATTGATCAGGTAGCAGCTGCCCTGGGGCTCAGAGTCTCATGCGAGATTCACACCGGCTCCCAGAAGGAAGCGGGGGTGTGAGCCCCACACTAGCAGCAGAGTGGGGCTCCCCAGGTACCAAGATGACTCTACACCCTTGACAAGTACAAAACCCACCCCCAGCCCCTGGGGGGCGCTCTCATCCCCTTTCTCAGACGAAAAACAGAGATGCAGACTCCACCACCGGACTAAGGCCACCCAGCAGGCGGGACACACAGCACAGAGACCCCATGGAGGGGAGGCTCCCGGGTCGACCTGTGACCCCAGGGCCGGCCCGGTCAATCGGGTGTTTGCCTGCCCCGCTGTGGGAAGCGGGCAGGTGGTTCTGCCCTGGGCCCCAACTCCCTGGCACAGAGACAGAGAGCCCTGTGCCTGAGGAGATCCAGACAGCCTCTGCTCCACTTAATAGGGTACAGACAGCATCTCAGAAGTGCCCAGGGGTGGACGTGAGGAGCAGGCGGGGTCACCCAGGAGGCCCTCGCCCACGCAGGGAGGAGGCACAGGCCACCACCCTCACCCACCCCACCGCCGGCTGCCCCCGGGGCTCACCTGGATGCCGTTCTCCTGCAGGTTCAGGTACCGAGTGTTGACAGGGATGCTGGCCGGGACCTCTGCCAGCTCTCTCCGTGTGCAGATCACCCGGCTGGCCTGGTTGCTGCAGGAGCAGGCTGCCGGGCAGGAGGTGGCTGGCGGGGAGCCCCCTCCAGCAGCCAGGGTCAAGGCCACGCCGCCCCCGCCGGCCCCCAGGGGTGGGGAGAAGAGCCAGAGGAAGAGCAGGGCCCCATGGGGCCAGGACATCCTACTGGGCGGCAGTGGGGGGCACGGGGAGCCGCGGGCGCACGCCATCCTCAATGTTCATGCTCCGCACGGGCGCCGGGGGGCTGTCGGGAGAGAGAAGGAGAGGCTCGGTGAGGGTGGGGGAACCCGCCTGGCCCGTCCGCTCCCCAGCCCCCAGCTCTGGCCACTGTGGCCACTGCCGTCCCCTCCCTGCCCTCCTCTCATCTCACCCCCTCCCCGCTGAGAAGACTTTATGCCCATTTCACAGAGCCGAAAACTGAGGCTGGGCCAGAGGACACGCTTGCCCAAGGTCACGTGGCCCGTTAGAGGCGAGGCCAGCCAGATTCAACACTTAGTTCTTGGCAGGATTTCAAAAAGGCGGGTAAGTGGGCAGAGAGGAAGGGAGAGACAGGCGAGGCAGAGGTGACGGAGGGAGGGTGGGGCGTCGGGTAGGGAGTCTGCGTGGGGTTCTGGTTCCTAGCACGGCACCCACCCCGACCCCCGGTCACCCGTGTGAGCCTCTGGGAGCTGACTCCAGCCTCCTGTCCTGTGCCCTCCCCTCCCTTCTCCCTCCTGGAGCGTTTGCAAGGAGGCTGACCTCCCAGCACCTGCCTGCACACCCTCCATCCATCACGCTAGCCCAGCTACGCACTGGCCCCAGCCCTCTCAGCCAGTCCAGGACCTGGGGCCTCACGGCAGGTGCGGGGATTGGAGTTAGACACACAGAGGAAGCTGAAGGAACACGAGGTGCCAGCCAGGCAACTGCGGAGGTGAGGGGTGTGGCTAGTGAGGCCGGGAGGCAGTGTGGGGTGGATGGGGAGGAGGCTGAAGGCAGTGCTGGGGGCCCAGGGGGCCCAGATTGACCTGGAGCGGCAGGGTCTGCAGGCCAAGAGCAGGGAACCTGAAAGGCCGGAGCCGGGGGCCCGGGACCCTGTGCCTGAGCTCTGCCAGGAAGGAGGGCAGTGTGGGGTCAGGTCTTCCCACCCCCACTTCCACAGGAGGATAAGCTGATAGTAACAATAACCATCATTGTTCTAAGCTCACAGTAACCATGAAGAAGACTGCTCGGGACTTCGGAGCAAGCCTTTTCTGTGCACACACGCAGTCTCACCGGAGGAAGCCTCGTGCTAACCGCAGGAGGAAGCGGTTACGGGCCCAGCTCACAGATGAGGACACTGAGGCCCCAGGACAGAAAGTGGCTGTCCCAGGGCATGGGGCCCTGCGGTGGGTGGAGAGGGCCGAGGGGCTGCAGCCCCAGGGCCACCCTGCGGCCCCCAGGCCCTGCACACACGGTGCCCGAGATGCACGGGGGCACCCACGCCAGCGAGCCCTGCTCCGCCACGCCAAGGCGAGGCCTGCGAGTCCCCAGGAGCCGCCTGCACACTCGGGCCGCCAGCCGTGACAGGGGCACGCCCTCACACGGCGGCTTGGACCCTCAGACCCAGACCCCCCCCCCCCCGCACACGCACGACCGCATGCATCCACTCTCCCCCCCTGCAGTTTCCCAGGTCGTTTCGACTCCGATGGAAATGCGTGTGTCTGTGTGCCTGAGTGCCTGTGTGCCAGTGAGCGGGAGACAGAGGCAGAGGGACGGAGAGACAGAGGGACAGACAGACAGACAGAAATGAGAGAGAAGGACAGAGAGACAGACAGAGGGAGACCGAGGCAGAGGGACAGACAGACAGAGGGACGGAGAGAGGGCTGGCAGTTCTGTCTGGATCCCAAACTCATTTTTCTGCCCGCGGGGCTGGGGGCCGGGAGAGCATCTGTCTGAGGGGAGGGCGGCGGGGCCTTCCCTCCCTTCCCCAGTGTGACCGGGGGACTCAGGCTCTGTCCTTGTCCAGAGCCCATGGCTGCGCCCCCACCTCCTAGGACTGGGGAGCACCCAACCTGCACCCTCTAAGCCAGGGACTGGTGCGGCCCGATGGGGCCCGCATTGGAGGCTCGGGGACCCAGGGGCCAGGACAGCCCCGGGACGGTGGGAGCCCGCTGCACCCCAGCTCTCTGCCGGCCGCTGTGTCTCCACCTCCTCACCCGTCCCCATCTCTCCTGCCGCCAGCCCACGTCCGTCCCCCTCACCCCCCATCACCGCTCCTGCAGCGGCTGCCCGGCCTCCTCCCTTCCCTCCTGCACCCTCGCCATCTCCCGTCTCCGTCCTTGTCCCCTCCCACAGAAGGGACACTCACCCTGGTGGCTCGGCTTTCGCTGGGCCTCTCCCTGCACCCCAGGCCCCCCCTGCACATGCCTCCAGCCGCCGCCGCTGCCGGGCTCTGCCTCCCCAGCTCTCTGGGTTCTGTCGAGGTCGTGCTGGGGGGGGCGCAGGGGCTTCTTGGGTCTCCCCGCGCCCCCCCCTCGTCTCCTGTCACCCTTCCCGCCCCCGGGGGGCAGCTGTCGTAGGCCACTGCCGCAGCCTTCTCCTCCTCCCCGCCCTGCTGGCCTCCTCTGGTCCCTGCCCCTGCCCCCACCTCTACCTCCACTTTCCCCCCACCGACCGACAGTCTCTCTCCTCTCCGCCTGCCACCGGCCCCGGGCCCCTCTCCTCTCTCTCGGCCCCTCTGCCACCGGCCCGTCCCTCCTCAGCCCTGTCACGCTGTCCCCTCACTGCCGGGCCTCCCCGGGGACCACCGGGGCCCCTCTCTCCCTCTCCTCCATCTCCTCCTCACTCTCCCTCGGTCCCCATCACCCTCTGGTGTTCCGGAAGCCTGTCTCAGTCAGATTCCCTGTCCGTCTGTCTGTCTGTCTCTCTCTCTCCCTTTCTCCGCGATTACAATTTCTAGTCACACGGCAGTGCAGAGCCAAGCGGAGCCTCGCTCCCTCCCTCTCACCCCTCCCTCCGCCTTTCTCTCCTTCTGGACGGGGAGGGCGCCTCTCCTCCCTCCTCCTCGCCCCCCTTCCCGAGGCCCAGAGGCCTCCCCCTCCCCCGCTAATCAAAGGCTCCGTTATCTAATTAACCCGTTGGTTCTGGGCAGCAGGGAAGGTCGGGGAAGGAGGGCGGAGGGGGAGGACGCTGCCGGCTGGGCTGCCCGGGGAGGGGGCCTGGGCCCTGCCAAGCCTGGCCTCGTGGCTCAGGCCGCCTTGTGGGCTGCAGAGCCAGGCTGACTGCCCCTCCCACTGCCGCTGGGCCCCAGGCACCGGTCCTGCACCAGCCCCCCAGGCCCAGGGCAGACAGACAACCTAGACAGGCTCCCCTGCGGGCACCCCCTCCAGGACCTGAGGGGCCCCTAACCGCCCCCCCCCCCCCACCGCCACCACCACACTGCACGGCCATTCACTCCACACCCCAGCCCTGCTGCACCGGCACACTGGGACCCACATCCCACACGCCCAGTCCTTCAGCCGACAGTTCACACTCGGAGAAACCCACCCCCACGCGGGCTCTCTCTCCCCTGGACCTCAGCCATGCCCTGGCAGCTGCCTCCCGGTACATGTCTGCAAAATGGGCAGTGAGGTGGCATTTGCTCATTCAACTCATCCGTCTGTCTGTCTGTCCATCCATTAAATCTTATATGCACACACAGGTGTAGGCACTGACAAATGCTGCCTCCACACTCGGAGCCCAGGACAGCCACGGGCCACAAAAGACGAGGGGCAGGAGGAGAGAACACTGCTGAGCGCCAGGGCCAGCCAGAGCGCTGGGCCGGTGGTGTGCTTGCTGTGTGGCCTCCGGCCAGGGCCTTCGTGTTTCTGGGCTGCAGACAGACGCTGTGAACCAGGGTGATGACAGTGTCTATCTCACTGGGCGACCAGGGGCCGACTGGCTAAGTGCTCGGCAAGTGGCCGTACCTTCACGAGACAGGCGGACCCCTCGTTGTCCTGGCCTGCCGCCATCTCCCCGCAGTGATCAGGGGAGCCTCCTCACGGGCCTCCCCACTTCCACCCTTGTCTCCCTCCCAGTCTGTTCCCACCACAGCCAGCGTGTCCTGCCAGATCCTGCCATCCTCTGCCCAGCAGCCTCTCCTGCTCTGACCAAACTGACTGTCTCTCTGGGTGTCAGGGGCAGAGGCCCCTCTCCCCGGACTGCTGCTCTGACTTCTGCAGCCACCCACCCCCTCTGCTTGCCCTGTGGCCTCTTTCTGGTATGAGGACGGGCTGTGCGCCTGTCTGGCCACCTCAGGGCCTTTGCATGTGCCCTTCCCTCTGCCTGGGCCCCTCAGCCCCAGCTTTCCCTGTCTTCTCTCAGGCTTTTGCTGAGATGTCACCTTCTCAGTGAGGCCATCGTGACCACCTCACAGCACACAGACCCCCCTTCACCACTACCCCCGACTCTTCTGGAACCTTCTCTGCTTTGTTTTTCTGTATAATGTTTTTTCGCCATCAACCTCTCGTGAGCTTGTACCCTGGAGCATGAGCTCCCCAAGGGCGGGGGTTGTTTCTGTTTTGTGTGGTCCCAGTGTCTATGGCATGTGGGAGCACATGGGAGGTGCTCAGTGATCGTCATGACTGAACGGATAAGGTGTTGTTGCTGTTAGTCTGTATTTCCCCCGTTACACCACATGCTTCACAGAGTCACACCGAGGCACAGCCATCCCCACATCCCCTACTCTGCACACCCAGGCAGGACACATGCCAGCAGCTGCCCACCTGGGGCTCACGCCTCAGATGCTCCCTGAGTCTGAGGTCCCTTCCCATGCCCGGAGGGCTGCCTGCCAGAGGCAGCACATCCATAGGCTACAGACACAGCTGCCTCCAGCTCAGACCACGGTGCCACCTGGCTTGCTTGGTCTCGGCTAGTGCACCCTAGATCCCAAACTGCAGGTGCACCCCACTAAGTGCCGCGCCCTGCAGAGAGTTGCCTCTTCCACACCACTCGAATGAGCTCCACCCCTCCTCTTCTGAGTGCGTTCCCACAGCTAGGCACCCCGTGCACGCCCGACTTGTATAACACCTTGAATAACACCACTGCCAATCACGAAACATCTGCCGCACACCTGGCACCAACCAGGCCCCGTTCTGTGGTTCCCCCACCTGCCCATTTCCCAGATTGGGAAGCTGAGGCACAAAGGTGAGGCCAACACAGCTAGGAATAGCCCCTCCTGGTCAGCCTCACCAAAGGGGCCCCAGAGACCCCTGAGCTTAATGACAGTCCCACTGAGGTCCCCTGTGGGATGTAGAACAAGACCCATCCCCCCCAAAGCCCCTGCCTTTGCCCCCACTGCAGAGGATGTGACAACTTTGCCCCTGCCCCACGCCCTGCTGGCGGAGGCTCTGTGGCCTGCCTTCTGTGCCCCTCCCACTGGCCACGGCCTCCTCGCAGTGACAGGAAGCAGTTACTGAACACCTGCCACACGCCCAGGGCCGTGCTAATCACAGCCCATGCCTCGGGCTGCTGGCTTCTCTCCAGGTCCCAGGGACAAGGGGACTGTTCTTGCATCCATTTCACAGACGGGGAGGCAGGTCCAGAGGCCTGCAGGACCTGGCCAGGGGTCACATGGCCTGCAGGAGACAGCTAGGAGTGGGGCCTAAGGCCCAGACCTTGGCCAGGTCACCACAGTGCCTCTCTAACCCAGCGCCCCGCACACCTGTTGTCCACCCCACTTGGTGCGAGAGGCCCTGAGGAGAGAAGAGGTGCGAAAGGCAGAGATGGGGCGACAGAGTGTCAGGGGAGCAGGGAGCGAGCTGAGATCCCGTGAAGGCAGCGGCGTGAAGGCAGTGGCACTGGCGGTGTGGGGCTGAGGTCGGGCACCCTCCCCAGCCCGGGCGCTGAGGTCTCTGAGGGCTGTGCCTGAGAGGATCCAGGCTGTTGGCAGATGGGAAATTTAGGTGGCCCCGGGGAGGCGGGGCGAGGGGGAAAGGGAGGCAGAAGGCATTCTCGTCAGGCGTATTCATTTTTTTCTAGGGGAAGTTCAGGAGGTGAGAGAAAAGATAGGAAATTGACTGCCTTCGCAGCAAGAGAGATGGAGGTGAGATCTAAAGAAGAACTTCCCGACTGCGAGGGACTGTGGCGGAAGTGGAGCCCGGAGCCGGGAGGGAGGTGAGACATCAAAGCCAGGGAGAGCCGAACACTTCTCCCCAGGCCTGCGCATGGGCGAGGCCCCGGGCTGTGAAGGGGGGCGCATGGCGGGGGAGGGTATGAGCAGCTCACGCTTCAGGGATGGATGAAACAACTTCACATGTGAGTGGCTCTGAGCCAGCCAGTGTCCTAAATGCTTTTAAAATAAAAGTAACCCCAAAGCCCTGAGAATTGACAGGCCCCTAACGTTTGAGACAGAAGAACCCTGGGAGAAGGGCTGCTCGGGCCCCTCCCGGCGGCTGCTGAGGGCACCGGGCTGCGGGCCTCTAGGCAGCAGGCCGGCTTCCCAGGGGCCTGCGTGGAGCTGGGGAGGGGGGGCTTGCTCCGAGGCTCGGGCTTGTCCTGTCTTCCCCAACTGCCCCCTTGCTCGGAGGCCCCGTTGTTTATTCAGTCTTCCTGTGTTCATTTAACCAGTATTTACTGAGAGGCTCCTGGCCCCGTGGCCTCTGAGGCTCCTCCCACACCTCGGGCACATTCCCACCCCAGGGCCTTTGCTCCTGCTGCCCCCTCTGCCCTGAGCGGTCCTTCTTGGGTCTACAAGCCTCTCTCTGTCTCTGTTGCAATGCCAACTTGGAGAGGGCTTCTTTGTCCCCGCCCCACTTATGCTTCTTTTTCTTTTTTAAGATTTTTTTCTTTTAAAGAGAGAAAGAAAGGAGAAAGAGAGGGAGAGAAACACCAATGTGTGTTTGCCTCTCATGCACCCCCTACTGGGGACCTGGCCCACAACCCAGGCATGTGCCCTGACTGGGAATCGAACCCCTGACCCTCTGGTTTGTAGGCCTCTGCTCAATCGACTGAGCCACACCAGCCAGGGCTTCTGCTGCTCCCCCCCCCCCCCGCCCCCTTTACAGCCTGCCTATTATGTCTGGCGTCACCTGATGGACAATGACTTGTTCTCTGCTTATTGTCTGTCTCCCCACTAGAAGGCGAGCACCCAGGGCAGTGGGCTCTTTGTGTGGCCTGTTTACTGCTGGTCTTCAGGGCCTAGGACAACCTCCCACCCCCAAGTCAATACTTGCTAAACAAAGAATGAGCGAGCCAGCGCCCCCTTCTGCCAGGTCCCCTGCCAGAACCCCATGCATGGGGGCCAATGAGTCCTGTTTTTGTTTTGTTTTGTTTTCTCTAGGGAGTTAGTGGACTCCGTGGGTAACATTCAAAGACTAAGCATGGGGGGCTGGGGCTGGAGTGTTTCGGATGGGCACTGCCCCTGGCCCAGGGGCAGTGACAGCAGCGAGGCTGAGCTCCGAAGGACCTGCGGGAGGCGGATGGGCGCACAGGTGCCCAGGCCCGCTGGCTGGGGAGGCAGGTGGGAGTCCGGGAGCCCCGTGGAGTCGGAGTCGGGCACAGACGTCCACCTGCACCGCCGGAGCAGAGGCTGGGGTGTGGGGGCTGGGATGAGGAGGGC